TGCCAGTGGTTCACCGACCCGAGTGTAGCCTCCGTTTTCGGCTTTTCATCCCCTCACTTTGGTGCGAAAACACCTCCGCCAAGTGAAAGCAGTGAGTAGGGCTTCCTCAGCAGAGGTTATTTGAGGCGCTTGGTAGTACAGGAGTATTTCGCGAGGTGCAAGTGGAGGGTGACCAGCCACAACTCAAGATACCCACTCCCAACTATACTGAGGGTTTCGGAGGCCCGCAACGCAAACGACTAGTAACTATGAACAGTTCTCAATCCTCAGGTTCAAGTCCTTCGTTTCAATCTCAGATAGCTAATCGTTCTACACCATGCACTTATTTTTGCTTCCCTTCACTCCACTGCAACACGCCTCGATTCCACCGAAACATAGTTACATCCGTCGGAAATTTTAGTGAACTGTACTAGCAGCAGTTTCTCTAATGGAAATCCAGCGTCTGTTCTCTCACAGTCTGATTTTAAGTTTCACCGAATCCTTCACTTACTGATATTCTTCTTCGTTCTCGATGTCCCTTCAAGTTTTTTTTGTACAACATACATAGCTATTTACAGCAAAAGTTGTAAACCCAATAGTCAAAGGCCTAAGTTAAGAAGGAAGATGTGTGGGGAACATTCAGGTGAGAACCAGTATATTAATTCTACCTTTGAAAAATTTTAGATTATTATAGAGACGCTGAGAGATATAGCCCAAAAAATCAGTTGGTGGTTTGAGTGTTGTCTTCAGTCTGTTGAAATTCCTTGTCCCATAAAACAATAAAAACAAACAATTTTTAAGACGAAATCAATATAAACTTAGTTGCTATTTCGTTGCTTTTCTCTGTTATCCGTTTCCGTTCAGTTCCATTTCCGTCATTCGCATCGAATTCCCTCCGTTCTATTCTCTTTGTCATCGCTCTGTCACCATACTTGTTCTCAGGCGGACACTTAGTCTACGGTAAATATACTGTTAAATAATATCTTTGACCCGACGAACCACTTACATTGGGATTTTGTATGCTCCTGGTAATTGACTTAACCAATTTGTCATTTCCTATTTATACCTCACACTTTTGTCGTTTTCTGTTTGTTCCCAGCCTCTTCGTCAATAACCTCATGCGCCCGGGTACTGAATCAGACATGCATGCGCGAATTAAATTTGATGCGTGCTTGTCCCGTGTGCTACCTGAATCGGATGCAAGCCATATTTTTGTTGCCCTCTACCCCGAAACCATTACCTTTGTTGACAAAAAAGGAATGGCTCCGGTCTGTGGATCTTCCGCCTCGTTCGACCGAGACAGACGAATCAACCCCGGTGGATACGATCAATGCAGATCCCTGGTGGTTTTGCAAGTTATGCGTAAGTTGCTCCTATTATTTTTGTTTAATGTCTTGTGTAGAATTAAACTTCGTAATTCAATCACGTGTATTTTGCTTACTCAATGACTTCGAGTAATACTTTGATTTTTATTGCGTACGAAAAACAATTTTTGTGCTTACTATCGAATCCCGCTACCCCTTTTTCATAGGATTATCGCAAGTTGGATTCTGCAACCTGTAATTTTTTCGTTCCCCTGTCACTTTTACTTGCATGGAATTTCAATTTGACCAGTAGATTCTCACACATAGTGAAAGCAGTCGTATATGTTTCAAATATCATCGAAGCGCACAAATACAATTAGAGTATGCGTCTTCCAAATGTTTTTTTGTTTCTTGTTTATGGGAAAGACCTACTTAGGAGTTTACTAATTGCATCAAATCATGGGTCAATGTTTACTTTAATTCGTGTCACGTTCTCAAGTGTCATCAGGGAATTCGGACATTTCGCTAGAATACCAAAAATGTGTGTGTGTGTGTGTGTGTGTGTGTGTGTGTGTGTGAATAGTCATGGCATACCCTTAAGAACTGTATTTTGAAGAGATACCATCATCATCGTATGTATACCTAATTTTCTGTACGACACTGTTTCCAGCCGAATAGTCTGACTTACTCTGCGAGATTCACCCAGCCGCTCCAGTCAACAAAGCAGCAATTGGAGTCATCTTCTATAGGTAATTCACTCAACTTCATTCTTCTGACACTTGATGCGTTTTGAGCAGTCTTTCAGCAATCATCTGCAAATTTCTTTCAATATCCCGTTGAGTGAGCTCGAGCATCACTTATATCCTAGGTATTAAAAAAACATCTCTCACAAGGTTTATAAGTGAGCCGTCAAATGACTGATAAATCGATAGCTGAAGGTAGATGACACTTAATTTTCGTTTATAGTGTTGTTCGTTTGTGTGCTCGTTCGGAGTTTTAATCTCAATAGCCCTAGGAAATTCCGCATCCTAAAAAGTGACTAAAAAGGACATCCTCATTTAATCACACATCTTTCCTGATTAGTTAACCAAATAGGTAACCGAGAAACGATGACCATACGCAGGGCTTTTGCTTGTAAAAACGGAAATTACGAGAAGTTTCTTAATTGAGTATTGAGGTGTATTGTACCTTTGACCTCGTCCAAGTAGTGTGTGTTGACCATAGAGGTTCACCTTCTTCCCCTCTCCCTTAAAATAGGTTCAGTCCCTGTCCACCTTAAATTATACCACTAATCTTGTATGCATTGCGAGTTTGGCAGCGACCAGTGAAGTTCGCCTCACTGTACTTCGCTGTACGACGATGATGATGATGTGTGTAACTCGATGAACTGGACACCTGACCCCTAATGGATTGCGATTTTAACACACCGTCAAACTGTTTTACTAGTCAGACCCTGAGGGTCGCAGTCGGGAATGTTCCCAAATAAAATCCATCTGTAATGAATTGGACAGCGTGGCAGTACTACGCCTCAGTGGATCCGCTAAGTGTTCTGACAGGATTGGTTTACAATTGCTCCACGCGATCATGACTGATCAAACTCGTGTTCAAACATGACAGTTTTTTCGTAAACATAAATAGACTACTCCCGAGTAGTGTATACTTCAATTCTCCCATTCGTTCCCCAATATCCACCATCTAACCAGCGTCCGTGCGTTAGTTTTTCCAGTTCATTCACTGGGAGGGAAGCACTTTGCAGAAAACTCTACTGTGGTCCTCTGGTACCTTTTTAAAGTAGTTTACCGTGCAACTTCGTGTGCTGCTTTCGATTGCTGGGTTTTTGTTACCCATTGGTATCCAGGATAAGACGGAAGATTAGGGGTGTTAATAGTTAAATCAAAGCCAAAAACTATTGCGGAGATTGAACAATGCCACCATCGTCATTCCTTACAACATTCAGATATATCACTCAGAATCATTCCAAATTGACTGAGCACTATTTCAAGCTGTCTCGTTGACGTCATCAGTTTCAGTTCAATTTGTACAACCATTAACCATGCATCTTCGAGCGCCGGTTTTGGTTGCTCTCTTTAGGCCGCCAAAATAGGAGAAAGACAAGAAAGCTAAAAAATAAAGTCGAATAGAAAATGGAGGATTTCAGTGGACTAATGTTTGCAAAGAAATTTAGAAGATACATGAGCAACATTGTTTACGACACTCCGCCACATCACGCACTGTCTAAAACCATCGATTACGGTCACCCCGATGTCCCCATCCGGAGAGCGTAACGGGACCTATGTGACCTAGTTTCCTGGTGAGGGTTTTCACATCCTCGTGCCAGGTCTTAGCTTGACCAACCTTGGCTTTATTCCACCCACTACCTGCCTCGGCGAACACCGCTCACCGTGGCAACCTATTTGATGACATGCGTAACACATGTTCCAACGAACTTAATCGACCACTTGCTCCAATGGGTGACCGCGATTACCTAAAACTCTGCACCTAACCTCAGCATTTCTCTTCCGGTTTTCCCACCAGATTCATGCAATGCTGCGCAGATAGCGATGTTCAAACACTGACAGTCTATCTTTATCTTGTTTCCTCAATGGTTTCTGCGCCGTATAGCAGAACTGGCCGAACTACCGCAGCACACACACGACCAGATGTCGGGATGACCAATTTGTGCATGTGTATGGATACTATGAGCAATATAGTAAGATGGGCCTGACTAACTCACTCATCGTCTGTCGATCGACGATCGTGTACATTTCCGGTAGATTTTAATTTGTTAATCAGCGTTTTGACACCGGTTCTCGTAACACTCGTTGCACAAGTGTCGTTGAATTCCTTCACTGTCAGTGAAATGTTTTCCTTGTTCCGGTAGTACATCGCGATCAACGCCAAACGATCGTCGATCGACAGACGATGAGTCAGTCAGTCAGGACCATCTAACTGTATTGTTCATAGTATCCATACACATGCACAAATTGGTCATCCCATGCGATAGTGAACCCAAGATATAACAAACTTTGTCCAATGCGAGGAAATTAAATTGGAAGAGTAAGTAACTTGAACAAACCATGCATTAAGTTTGAAAGTCTATGCCTCCAGTTGAAGTATATATTTACAGGTAATAACGGTTTTGACTTAGATGAAAATATCTGCTGTGTCAGTCGGTGTGAATTGCCTAAATTCTAAAATGAAATCGGAAGTGTACAAAATATTTCTGAAGTTTGATAAAGTCCGCGTTACTTCGGTGATCAGGCATTTAAATGTGCGCATCTTGTTTTGACCCGCATTGTGCGTGAATACGAGTCAACCGGTTGGTTTTGCGTGGGCCTACATTAGGGGATATTGTTGTCCGTTATTAAGACAAGTTCGAAGTTTATTATGATTATCTGTTTACTGAACCCGCTTCGAAAAATGGTGCGTGTATCTTAGACGAGTTAAGCGTTGGCCCCGTGTCATAATCGCGTAAGCATTTTCCATTCAGAATTTCCTACATGGCGCACCGCTCCACAACTGATTCTTATGGGGTGATTCTCTACCAACACAGGCTGCATCGGATTCGGAACCTATCCTCCTCCTGCGCCGACCCGAAAATCACACGACCGATCGGGTTCATTTATCGGTCGGTCGAGTGGTTTAGTCGCAACAAGGGACCTGGTGCTTGCCCAACTAACCCGAGCGAGAAACCACATCTTTTTTACAGCTGTAAGTCTCAGGCAGGCCCAGTGAACTTCGACTGTGTAACAGGTGGGCCGTCAGCACTCGGATGGACTGAACTTAACAACAAGAGCATTACAAAAGGTACAAGCCGGTAATCAGACAGTCTCGTTTAGGGTGAGAGATTTTAGGCGTCGCAGCTCGCGGAATATGATCCAATCAGGTCGCATTAGGGGTCAGAGGGAATTTACTTGCTTAAGGTCACGGATGAGAGGGACCAGATGATCGAAAACGATGGAGCAATCGCACTGTACGTTCTGACTGCACTGATCTACTGTCATCCTCGAGGCTGCATAAAAGATTGAAATTTCTTTAGTATAGAAAGAATACGTGATACTTGTCTGTTTCAATTGCGACTTTGAAAATGAAAGTCGATAGGCAAAACATGATATTTTCAATAATTCATCAGCTGGCCGTTTGCAATTACATAGTCAGAGTAGTCAATATTGTTTGATCCGGTGCATGGTGGATCTGATTACCCTATGTGAAATGCAATCGTACGGGCGTCAGCATTTTCAATAAGCTTTACGTTTTTGCAACGTTCTTCCGGTTGTCACGTTCGAAAAACTGCGAATAGGAGGACAGCTTGGTTGTTGGAACGTGCTTTTGTGCTAACCAGTAAAATAAATAACAACCAAAAACATGACGAATAGCTAGAAACAAAAAGATGAATGACTGAAAATCTAGATGCGGGTACTGAAATACCATGACCTAACGGGAAACTTTGAAGGTGCCTCATCAAACTGAGGTTAGGGGAAGGTTCGTTTATTGTGAAGACGAACAGTCTGCACTTTGACTCTGTCAATTAATCTGAGTGCATTTGTATGTAACTGATCTTTTTTGTGAGATTTTCTGTTTTTCAAAGGTAAACGGCCTTTGATGTACAGGTTCATTTTTTCCACTCAACTTTGTCCACTTCTTTCTCACACAAAGACGTCTAAACCGAATTCATGGCACGGTAGGACATTCTGAGTTGCCGAAGAAAGCTACGCGCTGTGTTCTGCTTGGAGCCTAAATTGACTTAAGATGTGAAGCTGATCAAAGTGCGCTCCGCCAAAAAATAAGGCATCTCCTCCCTAAATTTTTAGATTATATCTTCTCGCACATACGCGATCATCACCGTTTTTGAAAATCTAGATCGCCACCGAATGAAAAGCGGAGATACAAATGTTCATGAGATTATTTCCTATTTTAACGAAAAAACAGACTTTTCACCGCAACAGAAGCATTATACATTCATGAAATTCACACACCCAACTGGGTTTAGGATCGATCTCGATAAACATGTCCAGTTTGTATTTCGGCCTGGTAATTGGCAACCGTAGTGGTTCAGTGGTCGACTGACTGACTGATGTTAACTACGGTCATATGAAACCCCGTTGCCAGAGTCCATATGCTCACTTCACTCTCAAAAATCTTGAGAGAACAAATACAATAAGAGGTCACTATAAGAGTTTATCCATCATGGCGCGATGGAAAACGCTTACTGATAACACGATATTTGAAACGGAGCTAGCTAAAACAGTCATACACCTAATTGGAAGCCGAAAAAAATCCCTCTCAGAGCAAGAAAAGTGAAGATTCCTAGGTATGGCTTCAAACCCCGTGAGTCGTGCATCGGAGATAAAAAACGGTGCTGGAATTAAACGTTTCGGTGTGAAGGAACATTTAAAATGGCCCCTTGGAATATGAAAATATGCATAGCTCTAACAGCTTAACAAATAGAAAAACGTTGAGTGTGAGCCGAAATTCATGTAACTTTGAAAAAGGAATGGAATTCCGTTTATTTTAGCGACAAAAATTGATTTAATTTATATCTAGAGACGCATGGTCTGTGGAAAAAGCGATACTTCAGTAATTGGATTAACGATCAAATATATGAGATAGTACGGGATGCCTTATCAAGCAAAGCCACAGCCGAACTCACCATACTATGCGGTGTGCAAGATTCCGATGCATATATTAGTACGTTAGAGCAGCATCCTATGCCAGCAATGGTCATCCTTAACTCATTTTCACCATAGTTCATCGCTCGTATCTGACAAAATGCTCAATTTTTATTTCGCGGCATCACAACAGTGGTGTGGTCTACGTGTGTCCCAATAGAAAACATTTGGGCTACACTCACTCGAAAGGTAGACCAACACTAGAATTTTTCACCATGGCGCAGGTATTAGAGACATCGTTGATTACGGAGTGGAATAATACCGACATGGACATGATTTGAAATCTTAGTGTTAAAGTGGCTTCAATGGGGGTTGTGATACCTCTGTCGCGGTGAAAATTCTGTTTTTTCGTTATAGTGTTTTGTTAGAATAAAAGACATTTCGATGAAATATTGTATTTCGGCTTTTCATTTCATTGGCGTCTATAGGTTCTCCAAAGTGATGATGATCCTACATGTGGGAGCCGATATCATTTAAGAATGTAGGGAGTACAATACTTCTGTTTCGTGGCGTAAAGGAAGGACCCTCTTATTCACTTCATGTCGATCCTACCTAAAGCACGTACCACCTTTATTCCACCTCGATATACTTCTTACATGACCTGTGATTGTCCCTTAATGAATAAAAGGTTATAGTGGCCGGTATTTCCCGGTCTGATCATAAGCCCCTTTTTCTTCCTAGACAGATTCGCTTGTGTGGCTGTACCCTCGATCAAAGTTATGCGTATCAAGTCGATGGATGGGCACAGTAGAATGGTTCCGGTTCTCAAGGTCACAGTTATTTTAAACGTCAGCGAAGATGTTTTTTAAACGTTCGGTAGTTGCAAACCTGTGCCTTTTGAGTGAGTCGCGTCGGAATTTTGTGAAGTTTCGAAACATCAAACATGACGTCCAGCAGTTTTTTAACCGTTCCTGATAGAGAAGGTCTCATTGAAAACTGTAAAATTAGTCTTTCTGATCCGATTGCTTCTGATAATGATATACTATATATGCCTCAACCTCATGAACAATGCGAATTCATTGGCCTTACCGATGATACAAATCAGGGTTGTACATGTAGAACTCCAGCATAGTGATAATAATATTAAATTATTGCTTTATGTGGTCTTTTTCTTTTGTAATCTTCACCTACTTTGAATGTTAATGATGCGGCATTTTTAGATGTATATTTTACCATTAGGACGTCCAAGGGCATTTCGCACTACAGTTTTGTCTGTCTATGGTTGTCTTTCATGGATGAGAATTAGTCAAGTTAGTCGAAAGTAATACTGTATCGCATAGTCTTTTGTGATTCTCTGTGAAAAGCACCTACCTTCATCAAATCACGGATTAGCACAGTTCAGGTTCTGCTCTGTTGCTTCTTGGGAGCGACAGTATGTGTTTCGATTTCAACTCAGGCTGCAGCCGATCTATAGACGTCCGCTTCTGATCCCGCATGACCCATTGGCTTTACTATCCACTTCACGGTTGTTGTGTTCTATCAGTCTGTATGGATCTTGTGTTCGCCTTCTTAATCAACTCGATGGAACAATATTCAATCTGTTCTCTTTCAGTGATTTGTGTGTTATCTCTGATCTATATAATCAGACTGAGTCTAACATGACTGATTTTCATACGCAGTGATGCAACCAGCAGTTTAACGATTTGAGAATTGTCCATCTTCGATTTCAAAGTTAAACGACTGTCGTGTGTCCTAATGAAAGAACTTTTCCATTGATCAATATTTTTGTTACGTGCTAAGCGATTGCTTTTTCATCAAACCATCACGTGCAAGTTTCTGACAGGGTTATTTTCCATTTTGTAGAGGTTTGGTTTCGATCGAAGAACATCACACAGTACTCTTGATCCCATGCTTTCTGTCTTTCAAACTCTCCCACCTAAACTAGGATGTATTGCATCCCTTGGTCTGGGTGCGATTAGAACATTATCCTCGTTGGCCGGCTAAAGTGATGACAGCGGATGCAAAAGATATACTGGTAATGTTTTTTGGCGATTATGACGTCACTATGGCACCGGTCGGTTCAGCTAGAGTACATTCCGACTCTCGTGCTGTTCGGTCTCCCCTTCCAAGTGGATTGAATGCGGCTGACGTGGGCTCGGATTGCCATACCACGTCCGATCAATCCGTACGACCAGTTTCTCCCGTAGCCGGTCCCTCTTGTTCTGTGAACAAAAATACGCGTCACGGACCCAAGTCTCCCGTTCACTTGACCGTGGATGCTTGTTATAAGCAAGCACTGGTGGAATTGGATTATCATGTTGCTCGGATCAAAGAACGTTATCCGAATTTCAAGTTTCCTAATTCTTCCGTCGAATTTACTCGACGATACTATGTACAATTTCGAAAGTGAGTTATTCGTGTTTACGCTTTTGCTTTTTCTATTTGCTTATGTTTGGTCAGGAACCACATCAATATTTTGTCCTGGTTCTCGAGCATGCACAGATCATTGGTGTTTTTTTCAATCTGCGTTAATTCATGTTTTCTTCAACTATCGATACCTAGTATCATTTTGAGTGGTATTCCATCATTTCCTTTGCTCGCCTGTGTTCTCCACCCCTCTCACGACATCGTTTTATTACATTGTACTCTTAAAATCCTCGGCGCCATTCCTATCTTCTTCGAGTCCTCGTCCTATCAAACTGACCCGCCTGCAACTCTTTCACAATGCAAAAACACCACACCAACAGAGCGGGGCCGAATGATTTACTTGTTCCGCTTGTATGCTTAGGGTTCATTGGGGCCATCTATCACGTCGTTTTCTAACATGTATGCGAGCGCTAGGTTATTCGCAGTATGTTCGGTTTTGGTTAACTGAGATGTAGACAAATTTCGTCGGTAAAATTTCAAATATACATGTGAATATGACCGTTTATTAAGTCTCTGGGTTTGAAATTCACTTTGATGAAGCATCTAAAAACAAGACGGTTTTTTCATGTGGTCCATGTAGTACAATAGTCGAGGCTTCATATGGATTCACACTAAATCGTGAACACTGTCTACATTTCTGTACACTCCACTAGCGTAACACTGAAGCCACNGCTGCTCTGTTTTTTCCGCTTTTGTTTACAGATGTAACTTACAGAGGCGGAGAGACACCATACAGTATGTGGCATACTGCTATGACGTGTTTTACCTTAAATTTTGTGATTTAATGGATCAAACACAACATCCTTTTACAAAATAACACGGAATAACGCTGACATCTTCAAACAACCGCGTTAAAGTTTAACCATAAAATTATTGCCATATATCAGTGGTAGTTGGTTGGTTAAGTTTCTGATAGCTGGTTATTTTTTCCAAAGGAAGCTCGTCCAAGGTGTTTAGCTGAGTATATGGCAACTATTTTAATGTCTATAGGGTCTATTTGAAACGACACTTCATTCGTGACAACAATGCAAAGCGTCTAAGGTTTACGTTACCATCGATGAACTTGAGGTTGTACGTAGATGATTCCCTTTTTGATTCCTATCAGAAACTAAACTTTTTCAGCGATATTGCAAAGCAGAAACGGCGTGCATTCTGTGCTTGCATTACTCCGCTCGGTTGGTCGTCGTCTAACGATACAAGATCCAATAACCCACTACATAGCGCTGACTAACGCACAGAACGGAACGATGGGGGAGAACAATAATGTGCCAAACGAACACCTCCCCACAGAACTCTGATCACAGATAACGCACAGAAAGCATTTGCCCGCATTCGATGGCCCCTAATGAGATATTCTCAAAGACACCGCAGTCAAGACTGAGAATTGCAAAACAACTGTGAAATACGGCTTTGAATCCATTGTGCTATTGCTTGAAACGCAATAATTTTTTATACCTCCGAAGACCTCAGTATAGTTGGGAGTGGGTATCTTGAGTTGTGGCTGGTCACCCTCCACTTGCACCTCGCGAAATACTCCTGTACTACCAAGCGCCTCAAATAACCTCTGCTGAGGAAGCCCTACTCACTGCTTTCACTTGGCGGAGGTGTTTTCGCACCAAAGTGAGGAGATGAAAAGCCGAAAACGGAGGCTACACTCGGGTCGGTGAACCACTGGCAGTTCACTTAGGGCAGTTGGCTAAAAACCCTGATTGTAAAACAACCAAGAAGAGGTGTAAGGAACACATGCCTTCCTGGTTGTGACAGTGGTCACCGGCTCAATTGGGCATTGAGCTGTATGGAACAGCTTAGTCGTTTGACCCCGTCCAAAGGGTGTATGATCCTATAAACTGAACACCGGTGTCCAACGAATTGCGGTTTTCCAAGAACGCCCTGCTGCTTTGGCTAGCCAAAGGCTTCGGTTGTGGATTTCTCAAGAAAATTCATCTGCCTTGGCCTGGACCACCTGGCAGTATTCCGACCACAAAAAAGTCATGGAACGTTCTTTTTGTTATAAAGATTATTGCACCGCTATTTGTTTGACACATTCTGAACTCAAACGTGTGTGAGATATTGAGATATGGTCTGTTGTATCACTTGATCGCCTGGTTCAGAGTAAGGTGTGCTTGACTAACTAACCCAGCCTGTGACAACCAAACACGAACTCCAAGGTAGCTGCTTTGTTTGACGTGAGTCAATGATCGGTTGTGCGATTCATTCGTCTGTTCTGGATAACCTTGTCGGGTAAGTGGGTCTCGACGATAGGTAATGCCCATATCTAGTAAGGAATCATTAGAAAGAAACTTACCCCCA